TCTAAGAGATCTTTTTTTTTTTATAATATTTTTAATTATTTTTATAGCATGGTCTACTCCCGGGTAATAAAATAATAAAATATTTATTATTATTTTATTAAAAATATTTAAGTACTTATAATAGGAGCTTAATAATTTATTTTTTATTTTTATAAAATCTTTTAACTAATTAAGTTTATAAAAAATCTTATTAATATCTATTAAATTTATTATAAATAATTTTATTAAATTTTTTTTTTTTAATTCTTTTAAGTACATCACGCGTTAGTAAAAATTATAAATAATATTAAAAAATAATTTTATTTCTATTTATATTATACTTTTATCCTTATACTCTAAATATAAAATATAAAATTCTTAATTTAAAATATTATATTCTAATACTTTATCTATAAAAATCTTAATATAATATTATATTTATATATATATAATAAAATATAAAAATATATATATTTTTATAAGCTTTTATTTATATTTAATAATATTTTTATTAATTTAGTTATACAGGCTTTCTTTTTCTTAAATTCTTTAATATTTTAAGATTTAATAAAAATATACTTTAGTTTATTTTTATTTATAAAATTCTAATTAATTATCCTGTAAAGTATACAGCCAGTATTAATTAAAATATTTATAAAATAAATTTTATTAACTAATTTTAATATAAAAAAGATATAGTAATCTTTAAATTTTTAAATCTTTTTTTTAAATTTTTTATAATTATAATTAACTAGTATATATCCCCCCAGGTAATAATTTAAAAAAATTATATTTTTTTTAAAATTAGAAATTATTAAATAACTAGATTTTTTAATATTTAATTAGTTTTATTAATCAGGTTATCTTTAAATAAAATTTAATAAATTTTATTTTTTAAGTTTTAGAAGTACTGTAGTAGCAGATAAAAATATTTAATAATATAATATTTTAAAAATTTATAGTATAGATAGAGTCCTGTCTTATAATATTTAATTAATATTTTTTTTAATATTTATTAAACTTATTAAACAGGTTCTATATTTATAATTATAAATTTTTAATTTATAATATTATTTATAATTACTTTTTTAGAAATATTATCTATCCAGATATTTAAGTATTCTAATTATTTTTTTAAAAATTAATTTATTTTTATAAGTTTATTAATTATCTATTTAATCTGTCAGTAAAAGTCTTTAAAATCTAATTTTTATTTAATATTTATTATTTATTAATAAATATTATTATTTAAAGCTTAGTATAGAAGATTCTTTTTATTTAAATTTTTTTAATTATATTTTTTAACCTTGATTAACAGATTATTAATTTTTATTAAAAAATTATTAATTATTTGATTTCCTTACTTAAGAATAAATAACTTATTAATAACTTTTTTTTATTAAATTAGATTTTTATAAATTAATTTAAAATAATTAATCAAAGCTGTGGTTAAGAAGAATAAAATTTTATAATTAATTTTTATTTATAAATTAATCTTTATTTTAACTTTCTTATTTAAAAATATAAATATATACTAAACCTGTTTAATTAATATATTAATAAATTATTAATTAATCCTGATCTTTATCTGTATATTATTAAATTAATTTAAAAATTTACTTTTATTTTTTCTATTAAAACTTATAAATATTAATAACTTTAATTTCTTTATATCAGCTAGATCTTAGACTAGTACTAATATTAATATTAATATTAATATAAATAAAAATACTGTAGTAAATACCTGAAAAAATAGAAGTTAAATATTAATAAATTATTTAATCTATTTAAAACTAGTCTTAATTTTATTATCTGTTATTATACTTTATTAAAAAATAATATATTATATTTCTATATTCTGGATTATTAATTTTTTAATATATTTAATTAATTAATTAATAATATTAGCTTAGATAGTGCCTCTATAATAACTAGAAATATTTATTAATTTATTATAATTATTATATATTATTAATTTATTATTTAATAGATACTTTAAAAAAGAATAAATTTAAAATTATAATAGATTAAGAAGCTGGAAGAACTATATAAAGTATAATAATTAATAAAGAAATTAAATTTATTAGAAAAAAAATTATCTAATTTATAGATAGATTAATCTTTCTTATAAATAATTCTTCTAGAAGTTTTTCTTTATAATTCTAGTAAACTTCTTTATTACTCTAGAGATTTCTATCTTTCTTATAGATATCTCCAGGTCAAGATCCAGAACCAGACAGGTTGGAACATAGATATTCCGATTCCAGATGGCTGACAGGGCCTAGCCCTTTTCAAAGACCAGGCTTATAATCTTTTAAAAAATACTTTATAGAAGCAATAAAATGAACAAAATAAATAAATGAATGAAAGTAAAAGAGTAAATTAAATTAAGCTATCTAGGAGAGCAAAATAAAGTAATATGAAGAGGTGCTTTATGGGCGGTCCGAGCGCAGCACGTGACTAGCCTACATGAATGCCTCGACAATATATATAATTAACAGCTAATTATAAGAAGAAATTTTAAATAAAATCCAATATTCTTTTTATGAAACAGGTCTTAATCTTTCAAGAAAATTCTAAATATACTTAATCTTAAAATTAATAATTTTGTTATAATTCTCTTTTCATAATGCCTACTGTATATAAAAATAATGAATTTAAAAAAATCTAAGTATTACTAATAAATCAGTACCAATACTGGTATTAATATTAATAATAATAACAGCAGCTATAAAATCAATATCAGTATAATTATAAAATTCTATAATATCAGTTATCCAATAGGCTTTAATATTATATATATAATATATATTAAAAAATTATTAAGATTAATATAGTCCTAGATTTTAATAATTAATTAATTGTATTCTATAAATTATATTCATAATTTTAATTATAAATTTCTTATTATATCAACCTCTATATTCTTAGAAATATATAATATAATTATTTTTATTTATAATCAGCCCATTTTCCAGGCCTATACTAATTTTTTAATTAATTTTAATTAGATTGGGATATTCTATAAAATAATATCATAAAATTCAATAACATATATTCCAGCTGAATAATCTTCCTGTAATAGATTTTAATTATAAGAAAATCTCTAATAATAAATACATCAATTATCTTATTAGGACCGGTAGTGAATCTACTATATATAAATAATAAATTAATATTATTTTTTACTATAAATAATTAATCCTGCTCTCAGTATACTATATATATCTTAAAATTTTAATTAATAAAATATAAAACGTCTAGTAGGCAGTTAATCTCCATAATCTTTATATATAAACTTGGTCAAGGCTTATTGACAGAGTAATAATTTTATTTAATATATATTAAATATGAAACTCTGCTTAAATACAGATATAAATAAAAACATTATTCATATAAATCATTGTAGTACTATTACAATTATAAAATCAAATAAATAATTATATAGAGTAGAAGAATAGTTTATTTAAGATGTTTTAATTATATACATATATATATATATATATATGAGAATACTTAACTATTTTATAAATAGTTATATATAAATATTAGAAATTAAATTTATTTATCTAGCCTGCAAAGCATTGTAGTTTATTATATTAATATATATTTTAGATTTCTTCAAAATATTACTGAATTATAAAGACTTAAATCCCTATAGTTCTTGTAATAAAAAATATTATAAGAAATATTTATATTAATAATAATTTTACTATCTAACTAGTATTATTATGTAATTTACAGGCTATCTATAAATATTATATATTTTATAGATAAAAAATAAAATAATTAATAATAATATCTCAACAAATTTAATCTTTATATTGTATTATTTAGCCTAATTAAAATATATTACTATATTTACTCTTATAATCTTATTACTTAAATTCTAAAAAATAATCTATTAAAATCTATTTATATAAAATATTAAAGATTATAATTACAAAAAAAATAGAAGTCCTCTGTTTTATTAGTTTATGAATTCAATATAGGGGTAATTATAAAAGAGTTAAAAAATATAAATCTTGCTACATTATCTCCATAACTTACTCTATTCAAATAAATTATAAATCTTAAATTAAAACTAAGAATTATTATAAGATCAAAGAAAACCTGTAGAAATCTAAATAATTTTAGAGGATTTCAATAATTATGTCCGCCCTCTGTAATACAGTAAGTATTATTATATTTATTAATTATTTATTCTTAGTAAACATTAACCGCGGACATAAATAATGAAAAAATAATAATATATATTATAATTCTATGTATATTTCTGATATTTAAATAGCTTCTAGGTTTCTCTGAAATTTAACTAGATAAGTAATTTTATTACAGCTGTTATAATATAGATTATATAACTTGTATTGAAAATTATGTAAACTTTAATATTATAGAATTATATATAAAGAATTTTATTTATTTTAGTTCCTTTACATAATTATTACAGTAACTCATTGGGGCTGAGAGCCTGAGACTCATAATTTTATACTAAATATTATAGATAATAATATTCTGCTAACTGAGAATAGCTTATTCTAATAAAATAATACATTATCGAGCAGTATTTGGAGATATATAGCCAGATTATAGAGTATAAAATCTATTTGTTATGTTTATTTTGCTTTATTTACTTATTTTTATTACTTGTATATTATTTCTTATATATCTTTCTTTCTCTTCTTATGTTTAATATTCTATTTTATATATGCTAATCTAGATAGATTTGATTGGACCTTATGCTAAGTTTACTGATAAAAAGTTCTAGTCTTTTTACTATCTGAAGTATACTAGATTAAATTCTGATAGTAGCCAAGGCAGACGGGAATAATCACATAGAAAACCTTAAATCAGTCTAAGGTTTATATGAATCATATATGTCCTGAGCTGATAAGCTCATAATACTCGTCTTTTACCAGATAGCTGAGTAGTTTGAATCTAAAGTATTCAGAATTGGTTCCTGACAGCTGCCCCACATCTAACAGTAAGGTACCCGACCCTCACAGTCTCCCCGCGAGAAGCATCACACCAAGTTGGACCAAAGGGAGCTATGCCACGAATACCCAGTAGAACAATTCTGGATGCACATCGACAGGATCATCTTCTTCCATTGCTTCTACAGGAATGTCGCTCCCTTGATCTGGCCAAAAGTGAATTGGGCTGGATGAGGAATCGGGCTGTTTCTAAAGCCCAGTCAAACCCTTTAAGAATTGAGACCACCAAACCCAAACTTCACCAGGGATGGCGAAGTACTCTGAGATCAATGTGCCGGGCACGGTCTCGAGGCCAACCTCTCCAGTACATACTTGGTGACCAGCCCTTTGGGGACTTGGACATCCTGTGTAGGAAAGAAGTCCTGATACCTAGGTACTTTGTACATGATCGACCATTCCTGTATAGAATGTGCTAAGTGGATAATTATCTTTCTAGGCCCGAAACTGAGACATTCACCTTTCACGCTGCCAACCTGATTTCGCGCAATGTCGTCAATGCCAGTCAATCTCTGCTCAACCCTCATGCTATATCTGTACGTGTGATTGACCTGTGCACGGGAACAGGATGCATATCCCTCCTTTTGCATGCTCTTGTCGCGCCACATGTACAGCGCTTGTCCATCGTCGGGATTGATATTAGTACTACAGCAATTGAATTGGCAAGAAGGAATTTAATATACAATATCCGACAAGGAAAATTGTTGGATCGAGCGATGGCGGATATTACTTTCAGAAAAGGCAATGTCCTCTGCGGTGCCCCTGTTGATGCATCGAATGTGGAGCAAGCTCTGGGCGATACACCCGAATCAACGCTGCGTACAGCGTGCCATCTCGATGTGATCATATCAAACCCACCGTATATATCTGAGAAATCATATGGAAATGGGACCACTGCACGAAGTGTTCGGATGTACGAGCCGAGGATTGCGTTGGTCCCTCCAGTGTTCGGTGACGGTCTGAAAATACCGCTGCACCGGCAGGAGGATATCTTTTACTACCATATTTTGTCACTTTCCTTCAAGATGAAGGTAAGACTTGTAATGCTCGAATGTGGTGACCATTCACAGGGTGAGCGTGTGGCGGCTTTGTGCCGTGACTTGGCAGCACAATATCTACAAGTGGATGATTTGAGCATCAGTATTTGGCCAGCTAATGATGGGACTTTGAACAAGAGCACTCATGAGGTTTCTGAGCCATGTATGGTTATAGTACAGAGACTTGGATTGGGGAATACTACGACCTGTGGTCAACCTCACCTCTGATTCGAAGTGAAAGCACATTGGCTCAGCATGACACAAAGTGGGGACCAAAGTGCAGTCATGTCAATTGGATGACCGAGGACTCACTTGTATACTCTTCTATCGACAAGAAGGGAACAAGCACTGCGCAGTAAGTGGCTAATGGGGATTCAGAGCAAATATCCTATCATGATGTAGGGCAGCCTGAGTGCGATCCTTTGATACAATAAGGGGTTATTATACCATCCGTTGATGGAGGATTAAACCGGTTATCCATGTTGACCGCTGCCATTATTCGTATGGATGCCCCAGGTGGTGACATTGGGCAGGTCAGAAAGGAATTGTTGGATATGAACACAATAATTACATGGGAGCTGTATACATTGTGTTATAGTATACCGTGTTAAATCTATTAGGCCTCATGTTGAGACTCCCGCAGCCTATTGATATCATTTACTACACGAACGGGGAAAGTCACAGACCTGCGCCTCCCCCGGGCGTAAAAGATGATGTTGATTTGTCTCTACTCTTACCACAGGGACCAGTAAGTCTCATAAACAACGGTATCGCCAAAATATAGTCTGTTTTAATCATCGAATTCGCGATCCATACTCATAATCATAATATATATTCGGATCCTTCCGAGACCGTACAATATGTTTCACAATATGATAAAGTGTCCCACCAGGAACACAGAAAATAAGCGTCTGAAATCAAAAGCCATGGGTATCGCGAGTTAAAAGCATACCGAGTAGGCAAGGCCACTAGCGCATGTACAGAAGGGCAAGCCAGCATACAAAGAGGAGATGTTCAGTAAGTCACCTCCAAGTGAATGTGCATCAAGGAAGGTTAGAAAGTCAGCATGTACCCAATCACAGCAGCAGCAAAAGCTATAAGTTTTGTAGCACCCATCAACCCTGCTGTAGCATGGCCTCCACTCGTTGCGGATGGAATGCTAGTGAAAGTTGCACCAGTCGGGCCACCAATCCTTGCACCAGAGCCATCAACTGCCACCGTCGTGACAGGATTAGCGACTTTAGTAGCACCGGGCACAGAGTCTTCCCCTGTTCCAATTTCCAAGATGTCGTTTCCCGTCGCATCAAAGTTAGTGTTGGCGAGGGAAATCTCATTGTTCGCTAGGTCGTAGACAACGTACGCACTGCGTAAAAAGGTGTCCCCCAAGACAGCGGTACTATCACCAGCGGGGACAATTCCGAAGACACAAGCGCGTTCTCCGTCCTGAAATAAGAGATCGCCCACGTCGAGAACAAGCTCGTTTACCCCAACAGCAATAGTAGGCGATGAGAAAGTGTAGGTGATATTAGTGTTGTTTTGTGCCAGACTGCAAGGCACATAGCCAACACCAGAAGATTGTTCGTACACAACACTGAAATCATTATAGATGTCTTCGACGATGGAATCTGGAAGATATGTAAGGGAACTACCAGAATCAAGCAAAACGGCAGCCGGAAGGGCATCTGACGAGTAATTGCGACTGCTTGATCCCGAAGTGAAGCCGACTCCAGTAAGAGCGATTATGAATTCGGAATAGATGCCATTAACCTTCTGAATTGGAAGGGTTTGTAGTTCACCGTGATATTTCTTCGTATTTACGCCTCCAAAAAGAATGGAACCCGTATTGGCATCTAGATCGTTCAACCATAGGCTGTAGGCATTGGACTTTATCAGTCCATTTTTCACCATTGCCCTAGGAAGGTTAGGATAGGCGCTATCACCGAAGCGGCCGACTTGGACCTCATTCGAAGTATAGCCGATGCCCAAAACACCCTCTATAGACAGGAGTCAGTTGATGATACACAAAAACGAGCGCCTGTTGGCGCATGAGAATTTTGTAACTGGGAATTCCACGTACCGGAGGAACTTGATGAATACCCGATACCAAATTGGAAATCTTCCAACGTCGAACCACCTATATGGAGAGTATCGGTTGCGTAAACACCAGCCGCACCGGTTCCATCCGCATAGGATATATTGAAGTCAGACGAGACATATGTGTACGTTGTAGACTTGTCAGAATCGTAAGTGCCGGATGTACTGCACGGATCTGTCGACGAGGAGCAAAGCGTAGAATTCGCCGCGTTGCACCAAAGGTCACTGCTCCCAGTGTCCAAAACCAGTCGTAGGCTCTGTTCCGGCGTTCCAAGGGTTATATTACAGAAATAGAGCGTTTCCTTTCATTGACATGTAAGCCAACACGCACTGGTACAAATCCAGGATCCTTCGCATACCTCATTATCCAGGGCCTGAGAAACAGTGGTTGTATCTCGCTTGCGTCTTGCGCGGTCCCTCATTACAGGATCTGACACATCGTTGCGTTTGATATCTAGGGTCACAACAGCGGGCACTTCTCTTCGCTGAAGTATTAAGGCCTCTACTGTCTCGAGTGGAACAAAAGACACAGCAACCAAGAGAGACAGAACTCTCCACATTGTGTCCCCCACCCTTCTATCCTTTCTTCTCCGGGCTCAAAATCGCTCAGGTGCCGCAAAGTTGCGACTTTTATTTTGTGGAATAAAATTCCAGTGTGGGCTCACTAATGGTGCTGGAAATGAGCTGGTACAGGGTGATTATTCCGGCGTTCGTTGGTTAGAGGGATAGGATAGGAGGTTGAAGCGGACTGTGACGATATTATATCGCAATAGAGAAAATCTAGTAATGAGAAAACGGATAGTTTCTGTTTTAGACCTCCACACATGCTTGAGGAGAGGGGGCATATTGCTATTATATTGGAACATAATACGTAGTAGGCAGTAGGCACACTGGGTTTCAGTTGTTGGTCCGGGACTAGTCGGCTGGCTGATTGACTCGGGCCCAGATCTCCATGCCCCACTTATTCTAGGCTGAGCTCTCGGACAGGACAGTATTATTCTGCTGTCGTCATCATCTGTGGGTCCAAGAAGATACTAGTTCCGGATCTCTTCTAGAGAGACGCATAAGCATACAGGGTGATTCAATTAAAATACAATGTAGTATTGTACACGGAGTACAGGATCCCATCATTGTTCGAAGATAGTACTTTGTACAAGCTACATAGCCTAAACTTCTACCAAGTGTCATGCCCAAATAGTGTAAGCTAAGAGACTCCCTATTCTACGCCACAGTTGCTTCTTTATTGTGTTGGGTCTTGGCATACTATTGTTAGAAGTATGGACACGGAAGTTTCAATGGAACTGCCATTTGGGCGAAAACGGCACGCCCGGACGGATTTGGTTTGCAAGCCAATTCCGGCATTGATTCGGCTAGCTCGGGCGGGAAAGGAGAACCTTAACAGTCACAACTCTTCGGTTGCGCAAAATGTTTATGTAATGTTCAGCCGTAAACTGAGTAACTGGGCAGACGGTTTGGAGAACACTGAAGTGTGTGTGGCAGTTGCGGTGTACACCGCCATGATCAGATTACCTTTTCCGCAGCCACAATTGACTGATAAAGGCTGTAACCGATATATCACGTGCGAGTCAATAATAAAGTTAGATGACTACTCATAGAGTTGAATTCTAGCTACCTAGTAGTCCTTTCATTTCTGTAACTGGTATGGCGGCCTCGGAGCACCCGTATATACTGCATGTACTGTTTATGTGGGCAGATCACTAGTGAATGCATGTTTGAAATCTGCATTTAGGTCTACAGTTTCTTAAGATAATAGTCAACTTTTGCACCTAGTGGTTGTTATAAAAGAAGCGTTTTCGAAGCTGAGATCCGTATGAAAAACGTCCTCGTATCATGGCTATGGATTTAACGTTGTTGGTGGGATGGACGCCACATTATACAACCAGTCTGCGCATATTGCTATAGATATTGGCTATGCCGTTCACCCGCAGTACCGAATAATGTCGGATAGCCCACATGTTTACGTATACAACGAAGTAGCAAGGGATATAATTCGTCGTCATTTGAAGTGGAGCATGTGAGATGTACTGTGCGCCCTGAACATGCACGTGGTACGGGGAGTCTCATTAGCCTGTGTGCACTCAATGAGACTTCTGCCTTTGCTGTCTTTTTCGTATTGTAGTGATGTAGCATGCTGGCATAGGCAGCAGCGATGAAACATGTGTTCTGGCCCAGCGCTAACCGAAAAACCGAAATCCTGAAGCCTAAAAGAGCCGCCACCAATCATTGGTTGAACACAGTGTGTCAAGTCATATAAGCCTTACAACATCTGTTTGGCAAACTTCGTCGGTTATTCCTTGGGCAGCTCCTCGCATGTATCAGAATATGATATGAATTAGTAACGCATGGTAATCACATTGCCAACAATCCTGCCAGCACGGCTAGTTCACCAGGAATAATATGTACATCTGGAGAAATGGGGGAGGGCTAGAGATTGGAGAAACAAGTGCGCAAACAGCGAGGACGTAATGAAAAGGCGTGACGGAACGTCGCACCAGAATATACCCTCACAAGCCCATAGCTTCTCTGACTCGTATCATGGTCAGCTCAGCGTTGGCTCGAGCGGCTCGTGCACCTTTCTCTGATATGCCCTCAAGGTAGCCAGTCTTATCCTCCATCAGCGAGAAATATTTTTCTCTTACAGGCTGCAGGTGATTGGATATTTTATGGGCGAGGTTCTCCTTAAGTGCTCGCAGACTGGTTGACTGGAACTCCAGAACTAACTCTTCGCACGACCGTCCCTCGAAGTGGCTAAGAAGCTCCAGAAGATTAGAGACGCCCGGCCTGCGAAGAGGGTCGTAAGTTATTGTTGTTTCAGAGTCAGTAAGCGCCGCTTTAAGCTTTTTGTGGATCTGGCCAGGTGAATCAGTGAGCAGGATTCTCGACCGTTCGTCTACATGAGATTTCGACATCTTCAATGTTGGCTCTTTGAGAGACATGACTCGTTTTGCAGGTGCTAATAGATGAAATTGAAGTTAGTCAATATTCTCTACCGCATGCAATGAAACCATCATATGAAGGACACACATATAAGTGACTCTGGGGCTGGAAACACTGTGCCATAGACGTGATTGAAGCTGTTTGCTATGTTTCTGGAAAACTCAAGGTGCTGTTTCTGGTCCTCTCCGACGGGAACATGTGTAGCTCTGGGTTGCGTTAGTGTGTGATCGAACTAAATGTCGTGATAACGAACCTGTGTACTAGTATGTCCGCCGCTTGGAGAACAGGATACGAGAAAAGGCCGAGTCGCAGCCTTGACCTGGCCTCTGAAGTATCTAGAGTTGTGTCTTCAGGCAATTGGAGTTTGCTCTAATCCGTGTCAATGCTAAGGCTTTAACCTCCTCAGAAGATCCCCAACACTTTCTGTAATATTTTCATTGTCATGTGTGCTTACCTTCCATTGGGTCATTCGTGACAGGTATCCCATGGAGGCTACTGTGCACAGGATCCAGAACAATTCCGCATGCGCTGCTACCTAGTACTGTTTAGCGCAAGACTCTGTTAAAGCCAATTAATCACATACAGAACTTTGGTAGAATATGGTTGAGCGATCGGGGTCAAGGCCAGCAGCTACTAGAGTAGCAAGTGCCTCTTTTCTCCACTGTCTCAGCTGGGCGCTTTCTTGGGGTACTGTCAATGCATGCAGGTCAACTATAGAGAAGTACAAACTCGTCCCATCACTCGCGTCATCTTGTAGCTTTACCCATTCTCTTAGGGCACCCAGGTAATTCCCTAAATGCGGTACACCTGTGGGTTGAATCCCGGAGAAGATCGTTTTAGCAAAACGTGGTGAGCGTGGAGTTTGGCAACTACTCCATCTTCGGAAGCTGAAACTACTCGGCTTCCGACTCACAACCTCCAGTTGGGGCTGAATCGAACTAGGCCGATGAGCTATTGTCAGGATGCGGCTATACCGACATATGTTAACATGCATGGCTGTTCTTTTCATCACATGGAAGCCCGTCCCAAGGAGGTATATGTCGGAGGTTGTTTCGTGCTTTGCACAATTTCAGTCACGTGATTAACTAGACTACTAGTTGGCCCAGCTGTTGAATAAGATTGTCTAGTGGCTACTCAATGAATCTCATAAAGCACGTATAAGCCGCAACAAAAGACATGACACCAATACATCTGCCTTTCCCTAGCAAGAACTCATTATGGAAGGCTTATAGACAAAGCAATTATAAAAAGTGGGACTGTGGGAATTGGCAAATTCGTACGAGATGATGACAACTATGTGATATTATACAGAGTATTGGATGACATGGTGCTTATGCCTTGCGTGCTGTAGTTAAGGGGCCCTTGTATGCAACGAATCGTTCGTTGTCCAGGATATCCGAAATCGAGTCACAAGATGTTGCATCTTGCCGATGACCAAATTGTGAAAGGTAAGGCTGAAGCGACTTCTCGACTTCTGGAAGAGTGCTGTCCATGTTTGCAGCTACGTCTGTGACCACGATATAGTTAGTGACGTGGCGAACAAAATCGAAGACAAAGCAAGGTAAGAATTGCAATATACCAAGGCTTTCATGTTCCCAAACATTTGCTTTCATGCCGACTCCGTAGAAAGCATGCTTGCGCAAGAATGCTAGCCATGTCTGTACAACCTGAGGGTTGCCGTCTTTGATTTGTACCAAGCGTCGGAGCGTAATCCTTTCGAAATTCTCCTGACTCTTTTTATGCACGAAGTTACTTCTAGGAACGGTCCATCGCTCAACAATTCGTGGCAGGGGCACCGGCCCCGAGACAGGGAGGTTCAGATAATAAGCCGCCCGCACAGCAAAATCGGCGAAGAATTCGACGTTCCGTACGCTGTAAGATCTCAACTGAAGATCACAAACTGGCAGGCCAAATTCGGCCTTCCTCCGGAGGGGTCGTAGGTACACAGCTTGAACGCTCCTGGGAAGTCGAGCCTTATCATTAATGCTCTCAAGGCGTTCTCTCCTAATCATGAGTGAGCGCATGTCATCGAGAGCAATTTATTGGAGATATAAATCAAAGTTCAGACCATTGTTTCGTTTGCGTCTCGGTCGATTTCCTGTACGAACACACAAGTCAGCTCTTCGAAGTTGTTCAAGGTGGTCGTGAGAGCGCTAACAGTGCACTGGATTCAGCTGAGCCTGCTGGGTGGAGAGTATCGTTCGTTGACGGTGCATGATGGTTTATCCCAGAGGAAGTGCTGTAACCTCTAAAACCTGCTAGTAACTGAAAGCTGTTGGTATGGTTTCGCTAAAAGGGTAGGATGGGGTGACGAAAGATTACCTGGAACTGCCTGCCAGTGCATTTAAGTAGCCGAGGGTTGAGGGATAATGTCATGGTTGAAATCAATGTCTGGAAGAGTTGAATAAATGGAACACAAAGAACAATGCGCCAAATCCCTAGGTCCGTAGTATTGCAGGGACCTTGTACATACTCACTTGAATACCTACAATCTTTTTTCCATCAGGGCCCCAAGGATAGCGAGCGAAAGGCCACCCTTGATTGGCCACGAAAATTGACCGCCTTGCTTGCTCATCCGATCACATGACTATTTATCGGCATCTGATACTACTACTAGTTGTGGATGATAAATCGTGCTTTCTTGGGAATCAAGAGCACAGTCAAGTTAATCCTAACGCTGTAGATATATTTTATGGCCCCGGTGTACCTTTTTTGACAACCAACTTACCCACCACAACTACTACCGTGAAATTGGAGCGAGAATCATACTTCAAGCAATCATGGCATCCTCTCACAGCTCATCATTTCAGCATGCGAGTGAGGCATGCTCATTCTTGAAGGAACGCCTACCGGATTCATTGAAAGCACCTCGAGTTGCAATAATCTGTGGCTCTGGTTTGGGAGGGCTCGCAAGTACCATTGATCGCTTGCCTCAAGTCGATTTCGATTATGCTTCCATACCCCACTTTCCCCGTTCAACAGGTAGCCGTGTCCTCATAATTCGAAAGCCGTGACGCTTTACGCTCATTTATCAAGTTGCTGGCCATGCAGGAAAACTAGTCTTTGGACTACTCAGTGAAAATATACCTACAGTGTTGATGGTTGGCCGTGCTCAGTGAGGCTCCTCCATCAAAAGGGGTTATTTACTTAGCTTGCTAATAAAACTTTCCAAAAGTTATTACGAAGGGCATTCCATTGACCAAGTGACATTTCCTATACGTGTCTTCAAACTCTTGGGGGTTGACACAATAATCCGTCAGTTATATGCTATTTCTTCGTCGAAGCCCAAGTGATGTCCTACTGATAGTTTACTGGTTTTTAGTAACCAACGCCGCCGGGGGACTGAATCCTGAATATATGGTAGGAGATATTGTTCTGCTGAATGATGTAAGTCTATCACTACTTGACAGCGTCCAAGCACAGGCTTAACACATTCAATTCTAGCACATATTCTTGGCTGGCCTGGCGGGGGTTCATCCACTACGCGGTCCGAACTCGGAGGAGTTTGGCCCCCGGTTTCCACCTCTATCAGATGCGTACGACCTTCAATTGCGTTGTAACGTCCACAAAGCATGGGCCAAGATTGTAAATGTAGAAAGCAAAAGAAGACTGCATGAGGGAGTGTATGCCTTCGTCGGGGGTCCTAGGTAAGCTTTGTCCATCTTGATGAGCTAATGACCAGAATTCTGAAGAATTCAGTTATGAGACCCGAGCAGAATGCCGTATGCTTCGCCAGCTAGGCGCCGATCTTGTCGGGATGTCGACCGTACCGGAGATTGTTGTTGCCAGGCATTGCGGGATTAGAGTCCTAGCTTTGAGCCTGGTAACGAATAACGCGGTTCTCTCACCAGTGCCTCGCGGAGACGACCACCGTCTTGATGGGAAAGATGTAGCAGAGCTCGGTGAGATTTTGCAAGAAGGAAAAGCGGACCATCAGGAAGTCCTTGAGGCAGGCCGCTCCGCCGCCACGGACATGCAGGTATGCACCGCATGACCCCCTCCAGTTTTCGCGTACTGATAGTAACTATCAATTCAAGAAGCTTGTTATACAAACCATCGCGGATGTCTTTCAGTCAGGCTCGTATGGAGGTACGATCGATGGTCAGTGAGTCAGCGCGGATGGGGAGGACTATTTGAGCACTGGGGCACAACTAGACGCTCCGGCAATGTCAGAGACTTCAAATTAGGTTTCTTTTGTCCAGAGACTGGTCATTATGACTGTCTGAACAGAAGCCAATTCATTCACTTGCTCCTCGTGTTCCGCTTCGCTCGCAAATTGTTGTAGTAGGAACGTTTGCCGCTCTGCTTGAGAGACTGGATGTCCTTGTACTTAGCCTCAAATCGCTTGTTTCCTTGCTCCGCTGCCAGTGCTTCCTCAACGAAAGTCTTCTTTCTATCCCTTTTAGCGATGCGGCTACTGAAAAACTCAGTCGGACCTTCGATGACGGTTCCTACTTGAGAATACTGAGGAGGGCGTGCTTTGCCGCCCTCCTTCTTGTAATGCCTCTTCGGATCTAATACTGAGCGCATTCGAAGCAACTGCAGGTCTCTCTTGAGTTCTGTGGTCAACTCCGTCTTTGGAAGGTCGAACCAAGCGCTGCCAGCTGTGGGTTTGTCCTGAAAAGAAGACAAGTTAGCTATCGTCACCCATATAGGCAAAATAGCAGGATAGTAATGATGGGGATGATGCTCAGAGTAACTATGAAACAAAAATGTGTACTCTCATAGGCACAGCGCATCCCAGTACGGGATGTTTAGCTGCATCAAGCGCTTACGCGATGGGATTAATTTTCCTCATAGCATCTGTGACAAACGACACAACAAAGGTGTTCAAGGGGAAGTAACGCGTCTCACCTTGGATCTTGGCTTTGATGTAGATCCAGTCGGTCGCATCTCGAGTGGCGATCTGACGCTGGGGCTATTCATTGCTCCGATGGCATCTTCCACAACTGCAACATCATCTTGTTGACGGACATATGGCCTTAGGGAGCCTCCTGGTGCCAACTTAGGGATACTAAGCAACAACAAATTAGCTTTCGAAGGCGTACAAATTTTGACGGGTACACATACTGAACTGAGGTTGCTTCCAAACCCACATTGGTCAAGCTATCGGCATTGGAAGCATTGACCCTAGCATCACTGGGCCTCAAGCGATCCTCAGCCTCGCAAAGCAACTGTTCAATATCTTCATCATTTAACCTGACCTCATCCTGTGGTGGGACACTGGTAAGTTCAATGCATGTTGCACCTGTCATGTCCTATAATAGAGGATTCAGGTAACTCGGGTGTGCACAAGTTAAGGTAAAAGGAAGACCAGAAAGTGGAAGCCCACAAGGTAGGTATTTATAGCGTAAATTCAGGGCTACTTTCCTGTGGAAGAAGTTCAATGGCAAGCTCGATGGAAAATTTGTGCTGTGGGGCGGAACCTCACCTTAACTAACCCCTTGGCAACTAGTACCTATGTGGAGATATGCCTGCAATACCGGGTTATTATTATTCCTGCCCTATAGTCTCGTTTTGGAACTGCTTTGGTATCAGTAGTAATTGTCTTGCTGACCGCTAATGTAACAAACCAACTGGCTCTGCATGCACAAGAAGGGCCGATAATATTCTTCAAACTGTGCGTGTATATACATACAATTTGTCACATCTATTCTGTAACTTGCCACTTTCCGGCGGTCGAGTGAAATTCTTCCGAGCTGCTACAGCCATCTAACAGTCCACTTCAAGGTGTCGGAAATCAAATGTAGTACTTATCCATCATGTTACTACATAGTGATGATTGCATGTCAATGGTTGGTTGAGTATGGATGCTAGTGTATAGCCCATATTGCAAGGTCCTGACTATTTAGAGCTAGTGTCGCTCGGTCCAGTTGCTTTGTATAACATTTGAGTGCAGAGCACCAATGTGGCATACGAGCGTCATGATCTCATAAAGTCATGCCATTTTCTAGTGACTGTACAGTTAGGTTATTTGTACACTGTCCGGATATTGTAAGCGATCAGCCCGATGTATAAGTATCAAATTGTGTTTCTCAAAAATCAATGCATTGACTTAAGTGTCGTAATGCTGGCTGGAACTTAAGAGCCAGATTGTGAAATTTGACACATAATCCAAAACTATCCAAGCTCACTGGAAAAGAAAGGAACGAAATCATGGATCTCCTATATCTAGCACCGATCTTACGGGGTACTACTATGTTCAGAGTAGAAAGTGTGGGTTGTCATCGACCTCCGCAGGGTCTGAATGCCAAGAGGCTTCTGCTAGCGTCACTCGGGCTGCGCTACGCTTGGCGCCGCGTCTTTGCCATGGTTGCACGCTACCTACATACAAAGGCATCGAAGCACAATCATCTGTTTGGCGCTTTCTATCTCCATTATCGATCTGCTACTTCATAAAGCTCACTAGGTCACTTTACTTTAAGACTTCGACCCCTTAACCCTCTTGGTAAACCAGCTGGCTTGCTTCTGTCTAGTCTGTCGCGTCCCAACACCCCGCTATCGCGCCTGTTGAGATCGCCTTTTCATCATTTGCCAGACGAGTCTGTGACAGTACTGTTGCGCACGTCTTATATCTAATCACAAGTGGCTGGGCTAGTCATTTAATCATGGAGCAAACTGCACAAACCCCTGGAACACAGCAGGGCAGGCAGCAGCCTGTGTACGACACCCGAAATGGTGGGCATTATGGTAAATATTCCTCAAAATCCCCTACGCGTGTTCATGTCTACATACACATATACACGTGAAAATTCACGCTCAAGGCTGATGGCATGTCCTTAGGTGCTAGCGCAGCGGTATGGTCGCCTTCAGAAGCTTACGAGTACGCCTACGTTCTTAAGGCTAACATGCTATATACGTCTAGCTTTCTGCGCAAGGCTATGCGCCTGTTGCCGAGCTCTATACCGGGACATGGGCGAATGTGAGTTTTTTACATTGGTAGAGAATATAGCATGACTGACATTCCGCCAGGTCAACCAAGGCTTGCAAGGAACCGCCCGTGATATACTTACAACATACTGGCAGCACATCATCAACCATCTAGAATCGGACAACCATGATTATAAGATACACCAGCTACCACTTGCTCGTATCAAAAAGGTCATGAAGGCTGACCCAGAGGTTAAAATGATATCAGCGGAGGCACCAATACTTTTTGCCAAAGGCTGTGATATCTTTATCACCGAACTGACCATGCGTGCATGGATTCATGCCGAGGACAACAAGCGCCGTACATTACAGAGGTCTGATATTGCAGCAGCACTATCAAAGTCTGATATGTTCGATTTCCTCATTGACATAGTACCTCGCGAGGAGGCCACGTCCCATGCGAAGAGGTCTAGCCAGACAGCTGGAGCTTCTGCAGGCGTTCCTGGCCCCGCAGGAGCCACCGGCCAACTGCCACCATCTCAACACGGTGTTCCCCATCACATGCCTCCGCCGGACTATAGTACCCTGGGTCAGCATGGGCTCCAAGATCAAGAGTATCGGCCGCCGACGATGTATGCTGGAGCTGTGCAGTCTGACCCCACAGCTGCCTATGGTCAGCATCAGCCTCAAATGTTTGAAGGAATGTATGCAGCATATCCGCATCTGCCACCTCAACAGGTATGTTAATATTATCACGAGAACAACACCTCCTTTCTCATCTCTTTCCTTTTCCGATTGTTTTAGCTGTTATCTACATTGGCTTAACCTTGACTAATGCACTGGACACCAATAAGTGAGTGATGATGGCACTCAAAAGTAGGCACAGCCTGAGCGGCACACGAGAATTATAAGTACAACGGCACCATGCCATCGTATCCACTACCCGGTCAAGGAAGTGACCAGCTATGTACTGTGTAGCAACAGCTATGCGTTGCAAATGTTACGGAGTTATCGTGAAGCAGATCTCATACCCACATATCTTTCAACACGTTCTTCCTCAATAAAATTGGTGCACTTGCTCGATGGTACATAGAAATGAAGTAGCCCAAGTAGTCAGCACAATTCATGACTTCTTGCCAAATCTCGAGGAGAGAGTGGAGAATTTATCTGCCTTTACAGGACTTTGAACGGTACGTATGATCCTTCTTGTTGGTTAGTAATAGTATCCTGGCTATGGTGGTTGGTAACGCACTTCTCTAACAGGACGGGACCATGAATAGCGTCCACACGACCGTACTTCTTGTTCCGCGTAGATATATCATAGAACTCGTCAGTGTTATCTGCTTGCATCAGTTGCACAGTCTGTTGCAGCTCGTCAAGGTTTTCTCGGAGTATGGGAACACCAAGACCATCAACAAATTGGGATAGGTATTCGACATCTTTTGCAAGAGCCATTACACCGTTTGGGTTGATCCTTTTCACCTCCGGAGAGAGAGGGAGTGCCTGACGGAGTTTAGCAGATATACAGTAGATTTATCGCTTGGCGCTACTTACAAGAATCATATTCGCGGCATGACTGAGAGCGTCGAAGTAGATAAGTTCTTTGATTTCTGTCGGTAAGCCGAGGAGCGTCGAGTTCATGATGTTTGACAAGAAGCGTGTTAGTGTTTGCATGTAGTTGCTAGGCTCTGCGGGTGGGACAGATGCCATCCAATCGTACTCAGCCGTTTCTATGAGGTCATCAATCTTGGAATTGACTACTTCAAAGATACGTTTCTCTGCCGCTTTCTTATTGCTTCTGAACTTTTCGGTGGCGTTCAAAGTGACCACGTCACCGGAGACATTCTGTGATCGAGCAGCAGCGAGTAACAGCTCAAGTTCGCGACAGGCAAGCTCAAAATGCTCTAGGTTTATCAGAATCTGCACAATCTGCCCCAGATATTGTGAGGAAAGACGTTCGACAAGGGTGTCGCAAACTTTGTCTGATAGGAGTTCATCCAGTGCCTAGAATGGTAAGAAATGTGAAGGTATATGTGATATAGCATACTTACATCCCTTAGGGTTTCGTCAATGAGACTGGGGTGAGAGAAATCGTCATTGGCAAAAAAGTAGAACTGGTTCAGAAAGTTGCGGATGTCGATGCAGCATAAGGGATACATTTGGGAAAATGGTAAGACACACGGAAACCTGCGCTATCGTTAGTAAAGATTGATTTAAGTGTCTTAAGTTGACAGTAGGAACGTACACTTGCTCCTCCCTTGGCTTGTCAGGGCTGTACCAACTGACATTCAGTACCTTGTCAAATTCCTCGATTGTCTGGATAGGCATAGGCATATAATCATCGGTCGATACTATCTTCACGGGGTTTAATATAGAGAAACCGAACCGATTTGTAAGGAAACATACCTCTCGGAAATCGTCACTAAATCTTTTCTTGAGAAGGTCGGCATATTTCCTAAAAAGAATCAAAAGAAAGTCATCGAACACCCCGACGTGAAAGTCCCATGTCTATTTTCATATTAGTTAGTATGTCTCGCCAACATTCAGACTCAGAGGTCAACAGACATTCATTGTTTGCATGAACAATGCGATGAGATTTTTTATTTTCAGTAGGCTCTCAGCATTGTCAACCTCATGGAGAGCCCCCGATATTAGGATCACAGCTGTTTGGCACATAGAATCCCATAATTCATCGACCTTCACCAATTCGTTCAGCCCAACAAATCTACCCGTTCATTCAAAGAACAAACTCACATCAACAGAAGACCTCAGGTCCGGAACCCTCTTCATTGTAGAACGCTCGACAATGGCAAATCCTGCCATTTCTTCGAGAAGATTGTGCAGACTAGCCCCATCTTCATCAATAAGAGTAATGGAGGCTGGTAGCAAAAGTTCCTTCTGCCGACGCCGAGTATTAGCGTACTCAACTCGAAATCTATCCATATGCCCTAATGATCGATGAATGTGGAGGCATTCAAATAAAGGCGTAAAGTCCACTTGAAGTTCCTCGTTTTGCAAAAGATCGTACTCTTCGCTCTCGTCGGATACCAGCTCAATTGCCGAATTGAGCTTGAATTGACCAAGATATGGAGATATCTCTGTCCGCTCCTTATGCCTGGTCTTTCGCAAGTCTGTATGATATAAAGCGATCTCCCCGAGGTACTGCGACATTTCTCGGATTCTGTATAGCCAAGTATTGAGGTCAGACATGACAGCTTCAGCTATTGCTTTTTGTGTTGTTGGGACTGAGCGCTGAATCATGTCCGCGATTTTATACTGCGTCACCCCTTTAAGATGGACATTTTGCAATTCTTCTAAAGCGCGCAGTGCGGCATAATGATTCTTCTTAGCGAGTAGATCATGAACTTGATTCGCGAGACGCAAC